GCCTCTGAGGCGGTCCCTTTGGGAGCCCCTGCAACGCATGTACTTCTGGAAACAAGCAGACTCATTTGGAAAACCACAACAGTTTGGGGAGACCTGGATCTGACACCCAGCAACAGGAACCTGGGTGAGTGGCTGTCATTGCCAGAAACTTGACGGACCAACTGGGGGGATGAAGAGGGGGACCAGCTGGGCCTCCTAAGGACCGTTCCCCAGATGCACTGGACCGAAAGCTAACAAGGAAGGAAACCAAATCCACATGTGGAGACCTGGAGAGTGCCACTAAAGAGTTGGAGGGCGGAAGAGGGTGACAGGGACAGGGTTTGCTGCTCTCTACCTTGTTGATGGAATTAATTTATTTAAAAATGAACTAAGAACCTTTCTTTGCAGGAGTGGTTTGACTGATATAGGACAGGAGTAAATAAAGGGTACGGGTCCCTTAGACCATCCCAAGTGGCAGCCACCTGCTGAAACTCCACCCAAGGCCAACTGGACCTCTCCACCACTCATTCAATGGGATAACTTCCGTGTTAGGAATTTAGCTACAGTAGTCTCCCCGACAAACCCTTATCCATGGGGGGATGCAAATACAAGACTCTCAGTGGACGCCTGAAACCACAGATCATACTGAACCCTAGATGTAATATGTTTTTCCTGTATACCAAAACCATGATAAAGGTTAATTTATGAAGTAAGCACACTTAGAGATTAACAATAACATAATAAAATTGAACAACTGCAATAATTATATACAGACACAAAAATGTCAGTGAATATTCTCTCTCTCTCTCTCTCCTTCTCTCTCTCTCTCTCTCTCTCTCTCTCTCAATATCTTAATTGTACTGTACTCAGCCTTCTTCCCGTGATGGTATGAAACGATTCCACGCCTATGTGATAAGATGAAGTAAGTCAGGCCAACGCTGTCGTGCAACAGGTAAAGCTGCCCCCTGTAGTGCCAGCATCCCATATGAGCACCAGTTCGAGTCCCAGATGCTCCACTTCCAAGCCAGCTCCCTGTTAATGTACCAGGGAAAGCAATAGAAGATGGCCCAAGTCCTTGGGCCCCTGAACCCATGTGGGAGACCCATATGAAGATCCTGGCTCCTGGCTTGGATCTAGCCTAGCCCTGACTGTTGTGGCCATTTGGGGAGTGATCCAGTAGATGGAAGATTCATTCTATATCTATCTATCTATCTATCTATCTATCTATATCTATCTATCTATCTATCTCTGCCTTTCCTTGTCTGTAACTCTGATGCAAATAAATAAACAGATCTTAAAAAAAAAAAAAAAGACGAAGTGAGGTGAATGAGGCAGGCATCATGACATAGTGTGAGGCCACTACGGAGCGTTGCTTGGACACAAATACTGCAATGGCACCACAGTCAGCCTGAAGGCAGAGTGACTGCCAGGTGATGAATGGCAGGTGGCGTTGATGTCATGGATACACTGGGCAAAGAGAGGACTCACATCCAGGGTAGGGTGGAATAGGGCAGCACCAGAGCTCATCACATCACTCAGAACAATCTCATTTAGACGTAGGGATTTCTTATTCCTGGAATTTTCCATTTGTTTTCACTTGAATAGGATTTGACTCCCAGAACTCAGGCAAACTTTCAAATCCCAAAGTCTTATGCTAACAGTTAATGGATTAATGCTAAGGGGTGATGGATCAGGGAGGAGGCTTGATCCAATTATGGTGATTGAAGGTGGAGCCATTGAGAAGCGACTGGATTGGATGGATTGGCTGCAGGGGTGGAGCCCATGACGGAAGCATGATGACTCTATAAAGAGACACACGGGCCCGAGGACGAGCGTGCCTCCTGTCTCCCTCGCTCCCTGTTTCACCAGGCGATCCTTGCTCCACACTGTCCACCCAGCCTCACCAGGTGGCTGAACCTGTGGGACCTGCCCAATCTTGGACTGTGGTCCCCCAAAACTGTTAGCCCAAACACAGCCCCTTCCGAAGTAACTCCTCTCTGGGATTTCAGCTGAAGAAACAAAACATATGTGGGGACCCCGTTGACCTTGAGTGACTCCAACTAAACCACGGATGAGGAGAAATTCTCGTATTATGCAACCAAGCCACCGCTGGATGCACCACGAGAGCCCGCGCTCAGACTAAATGACCAACAGCTGGGGTTCAAGCCTCATTTGTTTTTCTTTTTTCTTTTTAAGATGACATTTCACAGTATTTCTAAAATTAAAAAACAAACTAATAACCTCATATGGCTTTAAAACTAGCAATAAAAGGTACCGTGCTGTCAGGCGCCCTGCCCGCTCTGAGCGGCTGGAGTCTGACAAGAGCGCTGAGTACATTGTGGCAAGAACAGAATTAATAAATGACATAAGACACTACTTTAATATGAAGAACATTGGGGCCGGCACCGTGGCGTAGCAGGTCAAGCCCCCACCTGCAGCGCCGGCATCCCATATGGGCACCAGTTCAAGACCTGGCTGCTCCAATTCCGATCCAGCTCCCTGCTAATCACCCCCAAAAGCAGCAGAAGATGGCGCCGGTGCTTGGAGCCCTGCCACCCACCTGGGAGACCCAGACGGAGTTGCAGGTTCCTGGCTTCAGCTGGTCCAACCCTGGCTGTTGCAGCCATTTGAAGAACAAACCAGGGGATGGAAGGCCTTTCCTTCTCTGTCTCTCCCTCTGTCACTCTTCCTTTCAATAAGCAAAATGAATTCTTGACTTGGGGCCCAGCTCACAGACTGCGGCGCATCCCTCTGGGCTTCAGGTGCTAGCTGAGTCTACCCAGATCATTGAGTTCAAATAAAGCCATTAGGGGGGCCCTAAACTGAGATGTGTGGTGTCCTTCTAAGAAGACAGCCGTGTAGGGCACAGGCGCAGGTGGAGAGGCTGTCACGTGGTGATGCAGGCAGAGATGGGAGTCAGGAAACAGCAAGGTAAGGAAGACCACCGACTGCCAGCCAAGCCCCCGGAGTGGGCAGAGGCTCCCCTGTGTGCATCCCAAGAACGCGGCCGGCCAACATCTGATTTTAGACCTGCAGCCTCCAGACCCGGGAGTCAGCAGCTTCTGCTGGTTTTTTTTTTTTTTTTTTTAATAATTATTTTATTTATTTGAAAGACAGAGTTACTCCCCAAGTGACCGCAAAGGCCAGAGCTGAGCTGAAGCCAGGAGCCAGGAGTTTCTTCCAGGTCTCCCACGAGGGTGCAGGGGCCCAAGGACTTGAGTCATCTACTGCTTTTCCAGGCCATAGCAGAGAGCTGGATCAGAAGTGAAGCAGCTGGGACTCGAACCGGCATTCATACAGGATGCCGGCGCTGCAGGCTGGGGCTTTAACCCGCTGCACCACAGCGCTGGTCCTAGCTTCTGCTGTTTAACCACCCACTCTTCAGGCTTTGTCACAGCAGCCCTGAGACACCAACCTCACAAACCAACTTGCTGATGGTTTGCCTAATTATGCACCCTGTTCCTTCTGCGTCTTTATATGGAAACTATGTCACAGGCTATTTGTAATCAAACATACATGATTGATTACTTGAAGATCGAATAAAATATTGGATTAATTCATTAATGCCTATCACGTTCTCCAGAAGAACAGAGCCAGTGGGACATACACAAGAGTAATTCAAAAAGTTCCAAGAGAGACAGCCCTGGCAGGCGCCACGGCTCAATAGGCTAATCCTCCGCCTGCGGCGCTGGCACCCCTGGTTCTAGTCCTGGTCGGGGCGCCGGATTCTGTCCCAGTTGCTCCTCTTCCAGTCCAGCTCTCTGCTGTGGCCCGGGAGTGCAGTGGAGGATGGCCCAGGTGCTTGGGCCCTGCACCCCATGGGAGACCAGGAGGAAGCACCTGGCTCCTGGCTTTGGATCAGCGCGGTGCGCCGGCCGCAGCAGCCATGGTGGGGTGAACCAACGGAAAAAGGAAGACCTTTCTCTCTGTCACTCTCTCTCTCACTATCCACTCTGCCTGTCAAAAGAGAGAGAAAGAGAGAGAGAGAGAGAGAGAGAGAGAGAGACAGCCTTGCACTCATCTCCAAAAGCTGTTACCAAAAGAGTCACCATGGTCTCTCCAGTATAAGCGGCTTCCTCCGCCCCCACTCACCGTCAGCCTCCTGGTTATGACTCAGACACAAACCTGAGTCTCCAAGCGTGGGCCTCAGCACTCAGCGACATCCTGCCTGGTCGAGCGGCTTCCCCCCAGCCTACCTCTGTGTCCCCTTAAGCAGCCACCACCATCACCCACCAGAGAATACCACCTGGCACGGTCCTCGGGAGGGGTTGATGCCAGAGATCACCTGGGCATGGACTGACAGGCAGTGCTGGCAGATAATGGCCAGAAGCAGGTACCACCTGCCGGAGGTCAAGAAAGCCTAGTCCTTGGGGCAAGAGTGGATGGAGAAAAGGAACTAAAGATAGTGTGCATTTTTAACGAACTTTTCAAAGACCCCTTATGTATGTATGCATGCGCACCCGTGTGCGTGTGTACATGTGTGTGTTTGTGTGTGTGTGTGTGTGTTCATGCATTTGGAAAAGGTCATAGAAAATGGGATTAAAAAATAATGGTTTTTAGTGGAATAAAACTTTAACATCCACACACATGAAGGGTGTTCAAAAACCTCATGGGAAATGCATATTGTGAGAAAAGGAATGGATTTCAGAATTAAAATATTTGCACTGCAGTAAACTTATTTTTCCATTTAATATTTCCAGGAACTTTTTGAAGTCCCCTCATGTACACACAAGTACACTCAGGAGAGGATTTCTCATGGGACTTGGCTCACATGATTATGGAATCCACGGAGTCCCGTGCTATGCTGTGGAACCAGGACGCCTGAGAGCCAGAGCACGCCATGGTGTGAGTTGCAATTCAAGGCCAAGGCCTGAGAGCACATAGAGAGGTTGGGGCAGGGGAGGGGAGGGTTTGGGTAGAACAAACTCAGAGTGCAAAGGCCTGTGAGCCAGGGCTCTAACGTCCAAGGGCAGGATAAGATGGATGTCCCAGCGAAAGGAGAGAGACAGACTCCCCCTGGCTTCCACCTCCTTTGCCTATTTATTAAGTTTGAGACCAGATCGAATTACTTGGGTGTGTTAATGACCTAATGTTGCCCAACAAAGTACCATGAATTTAGCAGTTTTAACACAACACACATTGACTATGTCAGAGTTTCCCGCGGTCAGGAATCTGGGTGCTGCTTTTCTGGTTTGTGAGCGGCCATGGGCCTCTCCCCACGACAGCTGGCTTCATCAGAACACGGAAGGAAAAGAGGAAGAGAGAACATCAATAAGAAAGAGGGCAGGCCTTTTACAGCTTGATGTCAGAGGAAGTGACATCATTGTTTCTGACGAATTCTACTGCTTAGAAACAAAATCATTGGCTCTAGCCCACATGCAAAGTGCCGCCGATGAGGGCCAATTTAGAAGGTTGCCAGCCATGCCAGGGACAGCTAAAAAGAAGCAAAGTTCAGTCAATCTTGTCTCCAATTCTCAGAAAAAAAGAGAAATTATATATATATATATACACACACATGTGTGCAAGTAAACATATGGTGTGTGTGTGAGTGCATACATATACAGTATATTTGCAGTAAATCTATAAAGTATATGTGTGTATTTCAAATACACAAACACATACACACATATAAATGTGTATGCATATATACAGTATGTGTGTATGTATATATGTGCATATGGCACATGCAGTATATGTGATTACACATACAAAGTATGTATTGTATATTGCTGATATATATGGTATGTGTAGTGTGTGTATACATGTATGGTCTTTGTAGTGCATGTGTGCATGCATATAGTGCATATGTGTATACATCTATGTGGTATCTGTGCTCACACATATTTGTAGGATTGTAGTATGTATGAATGTACACATACATGATTATGAGTATGTTTATACATATTAGAACTTATATAATTGGGCATTTCATAAAATTCATGGAAAAGTGGAATTAGAGAGAGAGAGGTCTCCCATCTGCTGGTTCACTCCCCAATTGGCCACAATGGCCAGAACTGCACCGATCCAAAGCCAGGAGCCAGGAGCTTCTTCTGGGTCTCCCAGGCAGGTACAGGGGCCCAAGCACTTGGACCATCTTCCACTGCTTTCCCAGATGCATTAGCAGGGAGCTTATTGGATTGGAAGTGGAGCAGCTGGGACTCAAACCTGCACTCATATGGGATGTTGGCACCACAGGCAGCGACTCAACCCGCTAGGCCACAGCGCCAGTCCCTTGGGCGAGTCTTAGATGTCCCTTCATGCGTAGTACGGGTGTACATCTGTAGTATATGCAGTACATGTGTGTGTAACGGTTTTTGAAGAATATAATTTGGAAGAAAACAAATTATTAGCTTGGCTCTCAAAAGAAGGCTTTTCAGTAGGAACAGGGCACAGACAGAACCACATTCCGGGCTATTATACCCTGAATACTGATGTGGGAAGATTGCTTTTCTAGGTCAGTTTCCCAGAGGGCAACAATGCCAAGGCATGAGGGTGAGTGGGTGAAAGCTGAGATGCGACAGGAATGGGGGCTTGCGGGCCTGGGGCTGGGGGGAAGAGCGAGCAAGCCGGAGCTGCAAATTCCTTCCAGACTTAATAATCCCGGGCATCATTAGGATCCAAAGCAAGACTTCAGAACATATGTTTTGTGTTGACAGCGGACCCTTAATTAAAACAGCCCCGGTGAAGAACGGCCTGATTAAAGAAAAGTGGTGCTTAAAGAACAATTTGACTGCTGATTGACATGGGTTGGCAGAGTGGGTAATTCCCCGCCTGGGTCCACAGTCCCCGGAGACCACAGGGGGCATGCATCCCCCTGAGTGCTCCCAGCGTGTCAACGTGCAAAGGCCATTCACGGCCCTGGTCTCCTTGATGGCTCCAGATCCACAGCATTTCCACTTCAGAGACGAGGCAGCTATGCGGGAGAAGCGAGGGGACCTGCTGGTGGCCCCCGGCAGCCGGCACGGCCACAGCCAAGCTCCTCTTGTGCCGCGTTCACTTGCATGCCAGTTCTGGCCGTTGCAATGAATCCACACGTCTTGTCAGTTATAAAAACCATATGCCTCCTTTGCACAGCCCTTCTTGGGCAAGCGGGGTTTGTAGCGGCACTGGGGGTCACCGCAAGGGATCGGGGAGCCTGCGGTCCACAGGTCGGGATGGTCTGGAAGGAACTGGGCTGGGACGGAGCTGCCCCACGCAGCAGGCTGTCTGTGTTTCCCGGAAGTGCCAGAGAGGTGGCCACAGGGCTGACGATGGGACACGCCTATTCCATGAGACAGCTGAAATCATTTTGGGGTTTGATGAAATGAACCACTTCCCAGGAACAGCAGATCTTCTCCGAGGAAACAAGATTCTCAGGAAACAAATTCACTTTTATGTCAGTTAGGGATGGAAGATTTAGGGGAGGGGCAGCAAATCCCATCCTGCATGGGACACCCACCTCCCCACCCCACACAAACAGGTACACACATGCAGATCTGTGCCCCTACCAGACACCCTGCTTCTGCGGCCCTCAGGGAGTCACCATGCATGCCAGGAAATGATGGAGACTTTAGGTGAACACCTTCAGAAGGGCTCTCCTCGCGTGCATAATGACAGCCAGCTTGCTGTGTGCCCGGCACACGGTTTGTACCTGAATTCCGTCATTTAATCCCCACGGGAGTTCTATGAGGTGCCACTATTATTAGCCCCACTTAAACACTACCCTTTATGGGCCTTTTTATGAGAAAGACACTTTTTAACTTCAGTGAACTAGGAATTTATGATCCGACACGATCAGCTTTCATAGGTAAGTAAAAACCATGGGTTAGAATTTGGTGGAGGGGCCCATCTGGCCGTCGCTGGTTTCCGTGGATAGTGGAACTGTTTTCTCAAAGTTTCCTCTCTCCCTTGGTGAGTTTGACTGCCTCGATACCCTGGGACTCTTCCACAGGCACACACACGCTGGTCATGGCTGACAGGTGCCAGGAGGGTGATCCGACCCAAGCTGTCCTTTCCCTGGGCAAAATCCCAGCCAGTTTCTCTTCTAGTGGCAGAACTGCGGCGTTGAAAGACAGGCCACGTCACCATGGGCTGCACTGCAGAGAGGAGAAAATAAAGCCGCTTAGAGAGAAAAACCATGAAATGAGGCAGGCACAGTGTTCCGGAACATTCCATGTGCAGATGCTGATTGTTCCTGAGCTCGGCTCACCTATTCCCCTTCCTGAGGTCCGGCTCTGCAGCCCTTACTTGGATTCATACTTCAGAGAGTTTTACCCGGCTTTTGACACTTGCACCAAGAGTCCTGGCTAATAAACAAAGAGTTCCTTGGGAGGATGATCCAGGCTGAGGCTTCAGGAACACCCCAGCTTCTATATATACCCATGACTCAATCTCAAGATTACAACTTTTTTGAGAGGTAGAACAACAGAGAGAGCTCCAATCCACTGCTTCTCTTCCCAGATGCCCACTCTAGCTGGGGCTGGAGCTGCGCCTAGCTGGGAGTTAGGAACTCAATTCAGGTCTCCCACATGGGGGGCAGGGACCCAGTCATTTGAGTCACCTTGCTGCCTCCCAGGGTCTGCATTGGCAGGAAACAGGAGTCAGATCTGGAGCCAGGCGTGGAACCCTTGTCCTCTGATGTGGGATGCAGGCGTCCTCACTGCTGTGCTCCATGCGGGCCCCATGGCAAGGGTTAGAGCCGACAGCTAGAACCACCGAGCTGAGCTGACCTTTGTGATCCACCACCATGGTGGTCATCAGGCTACTAAGAAAGACCAAACCATACAAAGTGCTTTAGTCTGTCCGGCACGAACCAGGGAAGTCAACAGGACTGTTAAACCACTCTATTCCCTGATTCCCTGACGCTGGTGAGTGGGCTGATGGATTTGGTTAATGAAGGAGACTAAGCGGCAAGGTGGGTGATGCAGTAGCTACAAGTGTGGGTCTGGGGTTAGACGGCCAGCCACAGCAGCCCAGGAGCAAGCCGGGCGGCCGGGAAGCCTGCACCCGCTTCCCATCGGTGAGGTGGAGATGACAACAACTCAGCTCAATAGAGCAAAGCACACTAGGTACACAGCATGCCCCACTAGACACACGGCAGCACCGTGCATGCAACACTGCATGGACTCCCAAAGGTTTCTACCATGCAACCTTCACAGACGCTCCTGGAAACACGGACACCAGCATCAAAAGAGATCATGCATACACCCTGGCCCCGCCTCGGAAACTTACAAGTACATTAGCGCAGCAAAGACTCTGAGCAGTCCCGCAGCAGAAAGAAACCTTATCTTTGCTTACATCAGCATTTCCCAAATTGACTTCGCTACAGGATCTTGTTCGAGGGGCTTTCCCCATGCACCACTTTAATGCTGGCCTAAAGGTCTCATAGCCCAACTGAGATCCTTTTGCTCCAGGACAAAAACATCTCAATTCCCCTTGCAAATCTGCTTATGTGCGGGCTTATTTCTCTGGGTTCAAGTGACTTCCTGGGCATACATATTTACAAAACAACAGGCAAATTGTGTATCTGCCTTGATTTACAAGGAGGGGGAAAAACACAGGTCATGTTGGTTTGGGGAAATTTCTAGATTAGGCCACCATGCTAGGAATCCAAACAAACAATCAGACCAAAAAAGCAGATTTTTATCTGCCTGGGTTACGAAGGAGCCGAATGTTTAGAAAAAGTAACTCATAATAAAATTACCAGTAAGCGAATCTGCATATTGTGCCATAAATACCACAAACTCGCAGCTTGGGGCAGGTACACAGGATCTTCAGAAAGTTTGCTCAAGACGGAATTAAGAGATAAGTTTATTTTTAGAAAGAATTGAAATCCATACCTTTGAGGAGTTTTCAAAAAGTTCTTGAAAATTCATAGTATGGAAAAACTAGGCGTGGATTTTGAAAAATTTTACATCAAAATAAGTTTGTTTTTTTTTTTTTTTTTGAGAGGCACAGAGACAGGAAGACAGAGTTTCTATCTGCTGGCTCAACTGCTCAGAATCCTGCAGCAGCTGGGATTGGGCCAGGCCAAAGCCAGGAGCTGAGAACTCAACCCGGCTCTCCCGTGTGGGTGGCAGGGACCCAAAGACTCGAGTCTCTCTGAGTCTGTGCTTGCGGGAAGCTGGAGTCAGAAGCAGAGTGGGGACTCCCCTTCAGACACTTGGATGCGGGATGTGGGCGTCTGGCCAGCATTTTCACCACCTCACCAGACACCTCCCCCTACACTTCTCTTTTTCATTCCATTTGCCATAAGCTCTCTGAAGCACCTTGCACAGGCAGAGTGGCTGTGGAGCCAAAGCCAAGGCTCTGAGTTTCAGCCCTAATGCCTACTGGCTGCAACCTTCAGCCAGTCACGCCATCCCTCTCCCCTGCTGTGCTGTCTTCTGATCCTTGAGAGCAGGGACAGTCCCGCCCTCCTGCAGCCCAGTGAGGTCCGCGTGGGAGATGGTGGCTGGGAAGGAAAGGCCTGTAACCCCCTGCCCACATGACACTAGTGTATTCTGTGCTGTAGCAATGACAGCACGGTGCAGCTGAAGTTCTGCAGATGGTGTGTGCATGTCATAGAGACAGGCAGAATGTCCATTAAAGGGGTAGCAGGTGCAAACCTTAGGCTCTGCAGCCCATTGACGGTTCTCTGTTACAGCTACTCAACTCTGCTGCTGGGGAATGAAAGAAGCTAGGGAGAGAGGCCCTTGCTGTGGCATAGTGGATAAAGCTGTTGCCTGTAGTGCTGGCATCCCCTGTGGACGCCAGTTCGAGTCCCAGCTGCTCCACTTCCAATCCAGCTCTCTGCTATGGCCTGGGAAAGCAGGAGAAGATGGCCCAAGTGCTTGGGTCCCTGCACCCGTGTGGGAGACCCTGAGGAAGCTCCTGGCTCCTGGCTTCAGATTGGCCCAATTCCAGCCACTGTGGCCATTTGGGGAGTGAACAAGCAGATGGAAGACCTCTCTCCCTCTATCTCTCTCTGACTCTCTGTAACTCTGCCTTTCAAATAAATAATATTTAAAAAAAATAAGCTTTGGAGAATAAGGTTAGTGAACAGATGTGGCTGTATGTGCCAATAAAACTTAATTTCAATTTATTAACTTGAGAGGCAGAGAGATGGAAAGAGACCAACGGAGCTCCCATCTGCTGGTTCACTCTCTAAATGCCCACAATGGCCGGGATTTAGGAACGCAGTGCAGGTCTCCCACAAAGGAGGCGGGAGCCCCCTCACTTGAGCTGTCACTGCTGCCTCCCAGGATCTACACTTGGCAGGATGCTGGAGCCAGGAGCAGTGCCCAGAAATGAACGCAGGCACTCGGATACGGGACCCGCCTGTCTTAACCACTGGGCTAAATGCCTACTCCCTAAAACCATATTTATTAAAAAAAAAAAAAAAAAAGCAGACAGATCTGGCACATGAGGTGTCGTTCCCCACCCCCTGGTAGATAAGACCCACCAAGAAACAAAACAAAACCAAAAAAGCAAAAGGCAGAGAAAAGCTGAGGTGTGCGGGATGGTGAGATTTGTAGCGCCGACAAAATGGATTTCCCTTCAGTGTTACAAGGCTCCTTTTGCAATGAGTGAAATAGGTGTCTTTTACTAAACCAGCCATGTTCTACTAAGATTCCAAGGATTGTCTCGGGATTTCTGGGAACAGCTTTCAAGTTCCACTTCCTCTGCTTCAAATTCCAACTCTGTAGGGGTCCTGGGGACCTTTCCCACATCACAGACAGGGCTGTTTGTGTGGGAGGAGGGGCCTGCATACCATCGCAGAGCTGCTGTCTTAGAGTAAGGCAAGCTACACTGGCTCTTTGGGCGGCTGTAGCTCCAAGGTCCTCTCCCAGAAGCAGGGGGCTCTTTGCCCCTCCCCTCCTAAGATGCCTGTCAGTGTCTGGGCGCATTTCCCGTTCTTAACTGGGGGAGGGGGAGAGGGGATTGCTACTGGTATACGGGGAGGAGCAGAGGCTGGGGTTGTCAATAAACACCCCACAAGGCACAGGACAGCCCCTCCGTCACAACGAGGAACTGTCTGAACCGCTCACAGCACTGGGCGGAGGAGAAGCCTGGTGCTGTGCTGATGAACTTGACATTCAAAACAAACAGGCATTTGCATACTGACATCTCTGCAGCACCCTTCATATAATAAAAGGGAGTCGTGTCTTCCCAGATGTTTTTCTTAAGGCGCCAGGGTCGACACCAACACCGGGACAGCCTGTTTCACAATCAACATTACCAGGAAAACGCAGGGGGAAACAGCATGGTTACTATGGATGCATTCCCTATATCATGGAGCTAACAGTGAAATACATGACGTCAAGTCATCTCAGGGAGTCTGGGCCTGGGTTAGCTTGGGAGACAGACAAGTGCAGGAGTGATGACGGGTTTGTAGGCATGTACGGTAACATAGGTTCTTCCTCATTCTGTCCCTGACTTTTGCAGAAGTCCTGAGTTTAATCCTAGCAGTAGGGGACAGAGAAGGGGAAAAGGGAGAGTGTTCCGGAACCTTTTGAAATGCAATACCCATGCCAGCCGCGTTGGTAATAAGAGCAATCATGCAGAACACTGTCTGAGCAGCTTCGAATGCTGTCCCTTCTGGGCTCGCAGCCCCCCAGGGAGGGCAGCATCGCCCCCCCCCCCTTATTTAGAAAACTTAATGACTCACCCAAGGTCATACAGTTCCCGGGTCTGTCGCTGAGACAGTCTGGCTCCAGTCGTTAACTCTGACCCTCATCTTTGTCTGTATCTGTCTCCACGTGCCGCCACCCCACCGAGCCTGAAAGTTCTTGTTTACAGGCCCTCAACGGCCCCGCACCAAGCCTCCCTCCCAGCCTCACTCGCTCACCTCCCCCTCCTCCCCTCACTTAATAGAACTGAATCAAAACCAGATTTTTGCCTCGGCAGAGGACGAACTTCCCGCCGGCGGCCGCGCGGGGGCGCCCCGGTGCCAGCCTGTGGAGCAGCGCGGAGGAGGCCCTGGGAACAGGGACCACCAGTCCCAGGGCCCGGCCGCCGGGGAGAAACGGGAGGACCTGGGCGGGAGGGGGAGCCCCACTCCGTACCCCACACAGGATCGCATGTTTTCTGCATTGCAAAGACAAATATTATTCCG